GTGCGGCGGCTGCAGCCAGGGGGCTGCACGTCACACGCATGAGTGTCGCACCAAAAGGTGAGAAGACAGCCTGTTCTGATGCATTAGCCTCTTTTTCCTTCTCGCACAGAGAGGAAGATGCTCGTAGTCAGCCCAGATGTAAACTTGAATGCTTCTCACAAGGGTGGCGTCTGCAAACCCTTTTCTTTTCCTTCCACCAGCACTGGACACAAAGGAAACAATGGTGCCATCTATTGGGGGAGAGTTAAGCTGGCGGGATATGCAGACAGCCTACCCTTCCCCTCCCAGTGGCCTCCCTGCACGCACATCTCCCTTCCTCTGGCGCAAGGCAGAGCATGCCACCCCAGCATGCATGCCCTCAGGGCTCCACAGCCTTCAAGCCCAGAGGCCTGTGGGCAGCCTATGCCCCCGCTGTGGCACCTCCATCCCTAGCATCCTGCTAGTTCTCTAGATGGCGATTTTTGTGCATCCAGATTAAGCAGCAGGGAGAAGTCGGAAGAGGATGGGCCTCTGAGTGGAACTGGCCTAAATCCTTTCCCCCGGACTCCTCCCTTACCCACACCCAGCACACCCCTCTTTCTCCCCTCCAAGGCGTATTTGCAGACTCAGAGAAGGCAGGCAGTTATGGCAGCTCTGAGCAGGGCAAGGCAGAGGCTCGGTCTTCAAAGACGCTGTTCTGAGAGCACAGGATCTCAGCTCAGGGACTCCAAATAACCCCATGGCCCTCAAGAACACCTTAGGAAGGTGTCCTAGATTGATGAACTTATTGGAGTACAAAGCCAAGGACAGCAGGAGCCCTTTGCTGGCATTTGTAGAAAGTTTGACGACAGGATGTGGAGTAGCGTCTTCTGTGGAGATTTTAAACCAGAGGCTGAAGAAAAGCTTGCCAGGCATGACTTCAGCCTCCTGCCTCCTGCCACCAGGCAACAGGTGGCACTTCATATGTCGGAGGTCCCATCTATCTTGAATATGCAATGATTCATCATCAATATAGCAATATAATATGAATGAAATCACACGGTGCAGTTTCATTTTGCTCAGCAGCAAGGTGGGAATCAGAAGGATGCAGCCGCTGTGTGGGAAGCACATTGAAGTGGGGATTAGTGCTGCGAACTGCAGAATGGATGAGAAGCAGGGACAATCACAGAGCGGGGCCCTCTTGGTGACACACTATATATGTAGCTTGTTGTCACTTTTGTGTGGGTGAGAAGATTACGCACTTCACTATGTTTGCAGCTCTAACTTCGAGCCAAAGCACACTCAGCTGACAGCTGAAGGGCATGGCGCTTGACGTGGACAACTATCCATCCATCCAGGGCAGGAGGGGTGTTGCTTGATGTGTGCAAGGGCCATGCACATCTGTGTGCACATACACAGCAGCCCTGCAAATACACCTGTGAAAATGCTCTAGTCCCCCATACATTTTCCCTCCCCTCAACAGGAATAAATACGGCCACTGTGGTCAACCACCTTTTGCAGAGGTGTCACACACGAAGTCCGAAATATAGGGCAGAGCCACGCTGCAACCTCTCCTGACTTCAGGCAAGGTCCCTGGTTAGAGCTAGAACATCTGGAATCAGCTGGTTAAAATGGCTTTCAGATAGGAGGCCAAGTTGTCCAACCTCTTGGCTGCACACCTGGTTCCCTAGCAGGGAATGGACCCAAACCAAGAAACAAAGCAGTGACTATTTTGAAAAATCAGTACTCCTCTGATGTTGCAGTATTTCTTCAGCTTATCTTGCAGCTTTGGTGTGCATTTCCCTGCTGGTGTGCCCACCCATCCGTGTAAGTCTTTTGCTTTGTTCAGTCATTTACACCATGCTACCAACAAAGCAACATGGACTGGAAGAACCAACTTAATGACCTGGCTCACATGCAATGGCAACCCAGAGTATGGGTTGCATATGGATTGTCATTGAATCGTGGGTTATTCTTGAGTCATAGTTGGTTGTTACCTGCAAGCCTCACATTATGGTTTAACTATGCATTGTTGGTCATTAACAACCCAGAGTTCACCACCCAAACAGGGTTCTCGTCCATTATTGTTAAACCAATGTAGGGTTGTTGTTGAATTGTGGGTTGCTCTTGATTCATGGGGGCTGTTGCATGCGTAGCCTACACTGGTTTAACCATGGGTTGTGGTCGCATGTAAATCAGGCACTGTAGAACAGGGACTGGGAAGATATGCAGCATAAAGGTCCCATCTCTTTCTACATAACCTCCCAGGGCTGACATAGCTGACGTAGGTGCGGCCAAAGCTTCCACACACTGTTGTTTTCACCTCCTGTTGGCCTGTCTTGAGCATCATTACTTATGCTCTATAATAACTTGCCTTCCCCTGTCCAAGATGTGAGGAGGGGGAAGGAACCATGAAGCAAAATTATTATTGTGAGCCGCCCTGAGGCTTCGGCGAATGGGGTGGCATAGAAGCCTCCTAAATAAATAAATAAATGGGGCATGCAGGTGAGAAAGAGGCAGTAGACTAACAAGGGAAATGCAAGATCCTGGGGCAGAAATGGGACTGTGATCCCACATTCATAAGGGCTCGGAAAAATTCCTTTTTGAAGCAGAGTGTGAGGGAGTTTCATTCAGGAAGCTGTAAAGTGGTGGAGAAAATCTACATGGAAAAGAGGGGGATGTGGCTGCACTGGATAGGTGTCCTTGCATACTGGTGCAGAACCTCTAAAATAACAATATTGCATAATTTAGATGCATTCCTGCTTTCCTAAGGACTCAAACACCTAGATCTCTTTGATGATTTGTTATGTGGGAGAGAAGTTTCCCTTTTGAGCTAGCAGTCCCTTTGGATCAATTACAGGAAGGGTGCCAACACAGGGAATGATGAAACAAAGCTTTCTGTTGCAAAGCTGCTCAGGATGTGTCCCACCTGCCTGGAATGACTGACGGAGAAACAAGGCATGGCGAATTGCTGAGTGGCCATCCCATGTCAGGAGTAACAGGCCAGCTAGCTACCCATTGTGGCTTATTGTGTGAACTCATCCAATGGCTGGACCTTCTCCCACGAGATTCTGTGAATGAGGTGGAGCAGTGGCATGCTGAATCCTTCAACTGAAAGCCCACCAGCATGGCCCCGGCCACCTCTTCCATCATCAGGTCATTTCAGATGGGCCATCTGGTGGGTCACAGGCTTCCCACCACTCCTGCAAGATACCCTTTCATCTATGCTTCTGTTACCTCTGACTGCACAGCGCAGACTCAACACAGGCTCGAAGGATGAGCCTGCTGGGGGCATCTTCTCAAATACATCCGAAAAAGAGGAGACTGGATCCATGTTTGTGCAGGTAAGACACATTCCTGTGTGAAGCATCCGCTGTTTGCTTTGGACGCCTTTCTCACTGGCATGCTAATGAACACTGCGTGCCCCTAGCTGAACTCTAAGCATCTGTGAACAGGCTGATCTGACCAACTCATGCTAATAAGCAGAAAATTTACCTCCATTTAAAAAAGGAAGGGGCATCTTTTGTGTATGCACAGAGACTGAGTCTGTTAGGACATCCCAGTGCAATGTGCTACTGAATTTGCAGAACACTTCTACCAATCTCCCCATGAGAAACCAGCCGGGAAGGAAATGGGGGGAGCCACGCTAAAATCCATCACTAAAACGCTCTCTAAATCTCTGTTGTACATGTTCCTAATAGTTACTGTGCCCGAGCTGAACATGCAGTGCATAGACGAAGAGTCATCTGGTGAATTTCATTTCCCTTTTGTTCATGGAAATAACAAATGCAGATTTCACTAAAGTCTGGCTCAGTAGGTATAGATTGTGTGTTTACCTTTTTTCCAATGGCTCACTAAGATCAGCTTGCAGCAGAAATCCGGAGAAGAAAAGTGCATGCAGGACCCAACTGTATACCGTTCCAGACAAGTATTTTAGCTCCAGGAACCCCATCTGGATTTCCCCAATCTGAGACGGCTTATCCATTTTCTGAGCCCCCAGACCTCTACGTATAAGATTACTCCCCTGACCCTTTTTAGCACTGGGTAGTCACCAAAAAGATATTTGAAAAGGTAATCTAACTAGACATGGTTTCTTAAATACAGAAGCTCAAACCACACGCTGATGGTGGACAGAAGAGGGAAGTGTTCTCCAACATCCTGTTACAAACCCACTGCACAAACACAGCTCTTCATTTTGGCAATTTTGGTTAACATTTGCAGAACACTGAAGAAAACAGAAAATGGATCTTCCCCTAAGTCCACATTCAATCAAAATTCTTGACCGTTGTGTGCAGGATATTCCATGTGTCGATGCAAATACATGTTGATTGTTTTAATACTGAGACCATGAGCAGAAGATTTAGATAACTTACCAAAATCATCCAATCTTCTTTTTGGATGAGTGCACAAATATAAAACATGAATAGTGTTCTGCTCTTTGAAAATGCAAACAAGGTTTTAACTAAGGAATAGAAAGCTTGGTTTCTCAAGTCAGGACATCAGTGGAAGGAAATGTTTTGCATCAGTGACAGAACAAGAACAGCAAATGCAGTTGCTTTTTCTGCTGTTTGCTTGAGGGCCACTCTTTTCACTCTCCCTGCTTTCTGCAAAGCCATCTACCTTCCATCACTTTCCATAGCATAGTACAAAAGTCAGCCAGCTGGCCCAACGTCTTTGCAATAAGTCCATGTTAATAGCTTTACTTTCCCTCTCACACAGTAACTTTGATATTCCAAGGAGAGAGACATGTATCAGAGAAAATGTTTGAACTCCCACATGGACCTCTCTTAATCTGATTCCTCTCAGAGGAAATCATGCAACAGATCCTGATCAAAATGCCCCATTCCTCATCTTAGGTTAAAAGCAAAACAAGACTGAGAAGCAAGAGCTCTGTACCTGGATTCCACACCAGAGGCCGGGGACCCCAGTTCCAATCTCTCAAGTGTGCAAATTCCACCAGCTCCAGTCATGCTGTGCCAGGCCGGTATGTGATCCCCAGGGATGCTTAGCTGAAACGCTTATAGTACTACTGGGCAGCTTACCTTGTGCGACTCTGAAAGGCACTCATTCATCCAGGCAACCTGGGGACGTCCTGTCAGAAACCATCTAGAGGAAAACTTCTCATAGTATCTTCCCCCTCTGAGTTAAATCCCAGCCATGTGTGAAGAGGTGAAGCTGGCTGAAACGTGGAGGCATGCAGAGAAAGATAGTTTTCTGTGGGCAGGCAGGCACCAGATCCTCCAGGGTATGAGCTCAAACCACAGGCTGCTGGTGGACAGAACAGTGAGTCGTTCTCTAACATCCAGTAGCAGATCCACCTTTCACTGCCAAGAACACCCTCTGCCTGCACAAGAGCTCTTGATTTCGTTAACTCTCAGCTGACTGAAGGATGCAACCCAGCAGCGTGTGTTGTTCTTCGTGAAGAGCATGCCTCTCCCTTCCTTTTTCCAGAGCACACTTCGATCCATCTCCTTGAAGATCTTCTTCTCAGGATGCTGCAGCTTTCAGTACTGTGATCTAAGAAAAATAAGGCAATAAAAGAGATTTAAAGGGGCTTTGACAGAGAGCACAGCCAGCCCTGCTGAGCAAACATACCAAGCCATGGCTGATAAGGTCTGGCTGGAAAGCTATTATTAGAAAGGTGCAGCCTAACAAAACCAAATCCTCATCTTTTGTATCTAACAGTCGGGAGGAGGGGGAGGGAAAAACGGGGGTGGTTCCAAAAGCGAGAGGGGTCCGTGTATTTGGGACAGATTCTTTCAAGGACAATCATTTTCTTCCAACTGCTTGAGGAATATGATTGCCCAGGTGACTGCTGGACTCACCATGTGGTGGCTGGGGAGGTATGGATTATATCCAGAGGGCACATTTTCCCCCTAATACTGTTCTGTTGCCCTTCATGAGCTCTTCAGCAATTTGGCCATGCGGTAGAGGTATTAGGTGAAAGAGCCACAGGTTTTGAAATATCTTAAGGCACTGGATGGGGTTCCATCTCTCTGTAGCCTAATGGAGCATGATCTGGCCAGTAGCCAGACTGGAGAATGCCCAGGAATGGCCGGTGCACCAGGCTAGCTTCCTTAAAGAATGGGCTTGATGCCATTGCAGAAAAAGCAAACAGAAAGGTCTGTCTTCTTTCTAGCCCAACTTATTCTATTAATGGAACAGCTTATTCCATTAGAAGCATGTACATTCGTATTTTTAAAAAATCAATATTTTATGTTATTTTTCAGGGCTAAAATACCATAAGAAAACATAGAACATCTTAAAAATAAATTCTTTTATAGAGTATAAACCATGCATTATTTCCCCAGCAGAATCCATTAATATTTTGCAATCACATGCACTGTTTTCTACATGGATTTCACCAGGTAGATGATTCCAAACAGCCCCAGGAAATACTCCTCAGAAGTACCATATATACCAGTGTATAAGGTGGCTTGTGTATAAGAAGAGGCTGGGGTTTTCTGGCCATCTGTTGAGGATCCTTTTATATGCAAGTATCTATGGGTATTGGTCAACTTGAAGCTTTAAACTCTTGTGACATCACATTACCATATTCTAGCTAATAGTCAGGTTACCCCTCCAGTTTGGAGGCCGACAGCAGTCTGCAAAGGGGCTGGCTGGGGTCAGTCAGGAGGGCTGGCCAGTGCTGCAGACAGGTGTGGGGAGCCGGCACGTGAGAGGGAGGAGGCTGGCACGGCAGCGCTGTGTCTCTCTGCAGCACCGGTGCCACAGCTGGCCCAGAAATGAGTGCCACCCCCCAGCAAGGGCAGGATGGGTGCCAGGCTCAGGTCTGGGCCTGCAGCCAGATGAAAGACTCACAGCATAATGCAATGTGCAACGAGCTGGGCATCTCCAGTACCATGAAGAAGGGTTTTAAAAAATGATTATTAATAAAAGTGATCTTGTGAATACAATCATCTTTATTATCTATCACTTTTAATGATGAATATACTATGATGAAAATTTTTCTCCTTGCATATAAGACAACCCCCTCCCCCACCACCAGTTTTTGCCCTGCTATTTCCTGTTTCAAGGGTCAGTCTGTGCTGTATTAGATATAGAAGGCTTGGCCTCTCAGGTCACAGCTCTGTTTTAACACACGCACACACAATCTCTTCTGTGGCTTGGCACAGTCACTCAACATTGGCTTTAGGGTGCCTGGCGAGCAGAACTTTTCCTTCTGACATTGTGCATTTCACCATCCAAATCCTTGCCTCACCACAAGAAAAACAGAACAAGACCTGTTTTTCTCGTCCTCCAAGGAATCACCCCACATATTGGTTAAATGTGGTTATTCATATTCAGATAGTCAGAATTCTCAGTTGCTTAAAGTAAATATTCTTTCCCATCCAAAAAAGTACAACTGAAATGTCTCACCTGGCCTTTCTGCCCACACATTTACTGCCATGGGAAGGAGAGGCATGTTATAAAAAACAGATAGCCCTTTCTCCCACACTGACAAATCCCTCTTTTTACACAGAACTGACCCTTGTTCTTCAGCAGCTTCAGACCTGAGTATTTTAATACCACCTTGAAACTAAAAAATCTCTACACATTAGTGCAGTGACATTTACTCTCAAGAGTGCAAGCTCTACATATTGACCAACGCCACAGAAGAAAACCCACTGCCTCCAGCTGTATATTTAAGGCAGAGTATTACAGAGAAAAGTGTGTATAGTCAAAGCTATGGTTTTCCCAGTTGCAATGTATGGCTGTGAAAGTTGGACCATAAGGAAGGCTGAGCGCTGAAGAACTGAGGCCTTTGAATTGTGGAGGAGGAGGAGGAGTCTTGACCGCAAGGCGATCAAACTGGTCAGTCCTAGAGGAGTTCAACCCTGACTGCCCTTTAGAAGGTCAGGTATTAAAGCTGAAGCTCAAAGACTTTGGCCACCTAATGAGAAGGAAGGACTGACTGGAGAAGACCCTGATGCTGGGAACGATTGAGGGCAAAAGCAGAAGGGGATGGCAGAGGCTGAGGTGGCTGGATGGGGTCACTGGAGAGGTGGGTGTGGGCTTCGTTGGATTCCGAGGGATGGTGGAGGACAGGAGAGCCTGGAAGAATGTTGTCCATGGGGTTGTGATGGGATGGACATGACTTTGCAACTAACAACAACAGTTGCAGAGAAAAGGGAGACTACGTAAGCTGTGTTGCTTTATTGGGGAGATATTCTAAATTGCCTGGAGATATCTGCATTTCTTCCCTCAAACCAAGCCATCCTGACTGCCTTCAGATCACAATATAACTCACTCTCAAGAACTGAGTATGGGTTTAGAGTTGAAACTGAACTGTGGGTTGTTCTTTAAACATGGGGTGTCATGTTATCTGAACCCAGCTATTCTACCGTAGGGTTCTGAACAACCCACAGTTCAGAAACCAACAACACACCATAGGTTGATTGTGCTTAACAAGCCATGGCTTGTTAGCACTGCAGGGTTCAGACATCACATTTCAGCTACAACCCACAGATCAACAGCCCAGACCTGACCTATGTTTAGCTCTTGAATATAGGTTGTCTGAACCCAGTACTAATGAATGCTCCTACCTTATAACATAATTATTGACCCCAAACAGGGTTACGGGGACTAGAATTGCTTTTAAGACAGGCAATTTTGGGGGTACATTAATTTTGTAAGATGTCCAGTCAGACCCATTGTACTTGATGACATAAATATTTGGATGTGAGCTCATGATCTAATATTGCTCATAAGTACTGAGCCTCGAGGCTGTAAAAAACCATTCCTATCCGCTCAGGACAGATTTACATCAGGGATTCTAAGAAATGTTACTACAAAGAATCCCCTGCTGGATCAAGAAGAGTTGGACTTCATAGGACACGGCTCCATCCTTCCCCCATACCTTATACAGCAAAGGCTCTCTTAAAAACAAAGGCAAATTATTAAAGAAGACAGAAGATTATGGCTGAGGCAGACCAAACGAGAAACAACAGTGGACATAAAAGCATAGCAAAGATAAGATGCGGCTTCCTTTTATATGCTTAAAAATAAATACAAGTGTAACAAAGAACTCGTATCAATGTCATGGTCTCTCAAAGGCAGCTATTAAAAATGATTCCCCGTGCTTCAGCATAATCACTTCCCATGCCGTGGCCACTGCTGCCACGTTCTTCATACAGAAGATGCTCAACCGCTTCCTTTGTTTTATGAAAGTATCCACAGTGTGGAGACAGGGGATTGAGAGAGTTTTGCCTCACTGCCTCACCATATTCTAAACTGCAGATTCGGCCAGCAAAGGTGACCAACCTCTCCTCCAGGTATTAGCCATGGTACCCAAAGGGACCCTCCCTGCCTGTTTAGGAGAATATGCAGCTGGTTCTTTCATAGCTTGTCTGATGTTATTTGGAACATTTTACTAGCAGCAAAGGAAGTATTAGGATGAATAGCAGATGCTTTCCCCCTAGGATATCTCCAGGTGCACATGGTGGGCATGTCGTGAGCAGAGCCGGCTGGAGCCGGGGGTCAGACTAGATGGCCCGGGAGACCCCTTCTGACTCGCTCTATGCTTCTAGGTTGAACACAAACCATCTCCCAGATGTTCTGGCAGTCTATACAGAGCCCATATTGATTCCTGTAACTACGAGGGCCAACACAGACTGGCACACTGGCATTTCTGGATTGCAGATGTGAACAATGCAGACTCAGTACCCTTGTTACTTCCAGTGACAAGAATGGATCCGGGGGCACCTCTAAGCTATGTACCTGCTCCCCCTGAGGGAGCCCAACCCATCTGAACCAGACAAACACTTCACTCCCTGGACATGGGAGCTGCCTATTCACACACTCTCTCATAATTTTTAACTCCTAGAAAGTGTACGAGGAGGAATGCATGTCTTGAAGCACACAGTGCAAACACACATCTCCACTGTGTATTGCAAAGTGCGTTAGTGTGCTTGTCTCCATGCTTGCATAAGTGGCATGAACCTACTAGAGAGATGGCAGCTGTGAGTGCCATTTAAAGTATGAGTTGGTCTTTAGTACGGGACTCGCATTGTTGACGTGGTACTGTTAAAGTGGATGAAAGCTGTTGTTCAGTTAAATACATGTTGGAGTTCATAAAAACACAGAGCCTTTTCAGGATTGCAGTCTGGAAAATGAAACTGGCTGCAACCCATCCCTACAGTCGCCGGATTTCATCAGACCATTGATGAGGATTTTGAGTGCAATTGCATTAATTGCTGACACTAGCAGTGTCTGGGGAGCTGAAGAGTGTGTGAATCGTGCGAACTGGGTGCCTGTGTGTGGTGAATTGACATAGGTTGTCCACACCTTCACCATTCCTGGGCTTGGCTTTCATTTCA